TGATCCACCCGCCTTGGCCTCCCAAAGTGCTGGGATTAAAAGCGTGAGCCACCGCGCCTGGCCCCAGTATTATTCTTCTTAAGCACAAGCTACTTCTCAGGTCAGAGATCCAGCAAATGTATCCAGAGTAGGGATACACCAAGGGCCACAACACCTAGGTTTACAATCTTAGAACTTTTGAACAAAAGAACACCACCCCCCTTCTATCTAAGTGAGAGTGTGTGTGTATGTGTGTACATAGAGACTGATTCAGTGATTGATGGAGGTAATAATAAAAATATCCATTTTAATCTTTATGACTTTCTGTAATTTAATAGGACCTCTAGTAGCAGAAAATCCATTCCTGAATGATAAATTCAAGAAATAAGTGTGGGATAGGGGATGGAGGATGGGGGAAAAAGTAGGTCTATAGGAGAAAAATAGACAAAATGCCATTATTTCTAATTTCTGTAATTCTGAATTTGTGATAATTTGATTAAGTCCTTATTTAAAATTTACCTTCACTTGGAAAACTGTTTTTTTGTAGTAAACACTGTGAATGAGATCACAAAGGAGAAATTTTTTGTTTGTTTGTTTGAAATGGAGTCTCATTTGGTCATCCAGGCTGGAGTGCAGTGGCGCCATCTCAGCTCACTGCAAACTCTGCCTCCCAGGTCCAAGTGATTCTTCTGCCTTAGCCTCCTGAGTAGCTGGAATTACAGGAGTCCGCCACCACATGCAACTAGTTTTTGTATTTTTATATTTTTAGTAGAGATGGGGTTTCACCATGTTAGCCAGTCTGGTCCCAAACTCCTTACTTGGCTGGTCTCGAACTCCTGACCTCAAGTGATTCATCTGCCTTGGCCTTCCATAGTGCTGGGATTAAAGGGGTGACCCACCGCACTCAGCCAAGAAATTTTTAAATGAAGAGAAAATGTGTTCAAGATATACTCAAGAATTTTACAAGTGCCCATCAATTAAAATTTTTGTGGCTGGGCATGGTGGCTCATGCCTGTAATCCCAGCATTTTGGGAGGCCGAGGTGGGCAGATCAGCTGAGGTCGGGAGTTCGAGACCAGCCTGACCAACATGGAGAAACCCCATCTCTATGAAAAAATACAAAATTAGCCAGGCGTGGTGGCGCATGCCTGTAATCCCAGCTACTCAGGCTCCTAGGCTGAGGCAGGAAAATCCCTTGAACCTGGGAGGCGCAGGTTGTGGTGAACCGAGATCACACCGTTGCACTCCAGCCTGGGCAACAAGAGTGAAACTCTGTCTCAAAAAAAAAAATTGTGAGTTATACAGCTTTAAGCATAATATCAATCCAAAATCATACAAAGCAAATCCTATGCTTTTATAGGCAATTCTGATAATATGTGTTAAGAATTCTCTACTGGGCCAGGCGTGGTGGCTCAAGCCTGTAATCCCAGCACTTTGGGAGGCCGAGGCGGGTGGATCACGAGGTCAAGAGATCGAGACCATCCTGGTCAACATGGTGAAA